TTGAAAGGTTGGGAAGCCTTATAATTTTGCCAGTCTGGAACGAACATCCCATCTGAGGGATGGGGGCGGAGAGAGAGGAGAGTGAGACAGGACCAGGAAACTGGGACAAGGAATCCAGACCGGTAGTGGGGGGCAGCTGAAATCAAATGAGGAGCTGGGGCGGGTTAGACAGCAATAGTATAGACATAGACTGGAGGGGACGGGGAAGAAGGGTCTTTGACTACTAGAGACCACTCCATTCGGGAGCCTGGAATAGACCCAGGATTCCTGAGTTTCACAGTTCCTCTTCTGTCAGCAGATATCTGTGAAACCCAGTGGCAAAAAAAATGTCTCACCCCCCTATAGAGCTGATCTATCACATATAGGATGACAACCTACTGCCTCTGCCATCACTTACTCCAGTAACTCAAGTGGCAGAAGTCTGTGCAGTGGATCTAAAGGTTCATCGGCAGGGTTGGAGCCATGCGAGTTTCACGATGATTCCACATGCCAGAATTTCTGGGGCAGTTCAGTTTTGATTTTTACAAAAAAACCTGGGGAAATGTCTACAGAAATCGGGTGACCAGATGCCTAAATAGGGGAATCTCAACAGGAGTAGAGAGGTTATTTTATCTCTGTATTTGGCACTGGGGCAACCACTGATGGAATACTGGGTCCAGTTCTGGTGTGCACAATTTAAGAAGGATATTGATAAATTGGAGAGTGTTCAGAGAAGAGTCACAAGACTGATTTAAAGGATTATAAAACATGCCTTATAGTGATCGACTCAAGGACCTCAATCTATTTAGTTTAACAAAAAGAAGGTTAAGAAGTGACTTGGTTATAGACTGTAAGTATCTACATGGGGAACAAATAGTTATAATAATGGGCACTTCAGTCTAGCAGAGAAAGGTAGAGCATGAGCCAACGGTTGGAAGTTGCAGCTAGACAAATTCAGACTGGATAGAAGGCATACCTTTTCAATGGTGAGAGTAATTAACGATTAACAATATACTAAGGGTCGTGGTGTTTTTCTAAAAGCTTTTTCTAAAAGCTATCCTCTAGGAATTATTTTGGAAAGTTCTATGTCTGTGCTATACAGGCGGTGAGACCAGGTGATCACCGGATCCCTTCTGGCTTTATAATCTCAGAACTAGGCAGGCACAACAATTCACATGCAAAATTCTCATTGAATTCAATAGGTGTCCTTGCCCTGTGGCTTGTGG